GAACCTTATGCGTTAAATGTGTATAGAGAACAGTGGTTGCTAAAAGCATTTGTTATTAAAAAACTCTTTCGTTCAAAACGTTTCGCTCCGCATCTCTCTGTTATTCAAAGATGTGCTATGTGGAGTCTAAAAAATAACTGTGATAACTCTATTCTCCAGCTACCTGAAACAGAGTTTGACAATTTTTGTGTCTTTCCAGATTCGTTTTTGTGAACTGTTCTCTCTCGCTTCCCCTGGTCATATCCTTTCTAAATCTTTCTAGAACTTTTTAATTGTCCAACTTCTTAACTTTTTATATCTAACTGCTTTTTCCTTTTTTTTTTTTTTTTTTGTTCACGATTGTCTTTATAGGACCAATAGGGCAAAAAATAAAAGCATAACACACACACACAGAAAAGAATACATACATGTTCATTCTGTTATACGATAGTTTCATATTCTTTTTTCAGGCATATTGAATAATTCTGTTCTCAACTTTCTCTCCAATCCAGTTTCTTTCGTACCATTTCCTTTCGCTTGTCTTCACAAAATTCTTTTATCACACTTGACTGGATATCTACTACGAGATACTATATGTTCATTTTCTGTTTCATTCATTAAAAGTGTTTAGACGTTTAAACTATCCATTGTTACAATACTTGAATGTAACCAATATCCAATATCCAATCGACAATTTCAATTCAAACTGACAAATGACTGTACGTGACTTTGCTCTGTATTACCCAGTTATTAAATAAAACAGAAATAAATAACTGCCTAGTGAGAAAGCGATTCTGCTTTCTTGCCTAAATTCTCGTCTAAACACTTTTAATGAATGAAAGAGAAAATGGACATATAGTATCTCGGAGTAGATATCCAGTCAAGTCTGATAGAAAAATTTTGTGAAGACAAGCGAATGGAGATGGTAAGAAAGAAAGACATTCAATGAGATGTTTTAACACTCTCGATAGATTCTTTTACATATAATTCCACAGGACACCAACGTATTATTGTAAGAAGCTTTATATATAATGCTATAAAACATACACTTTCACACAATTTCAACGTATTATTGTAATCAACACGAATCTAAAACAACAGTCGAATAGCTTCACGGGATCATCAACATGAATTCTATTTACCCTCTTAGCTTTTTGCTTATGTTGTTATGCTCACCATTTGAATTTGAGTAAGAAAGAAGAATTGTTTTCTTATTAGTCATTTATTTATTTCAGTTTTACCTAATGTAGAACGCACAATAAATCAGAAAAAATATTACAGTACACTGTTTCAGAAAAAGCAAAAGACGATATTGAAAAAGTCCATTCAGTTGAACTAAGAAGCTTCTATGTAAGTGTACACAACTTCATTATTCGGAACGAGGATTATTTTGTACTCGTTTGCATTAAGTATTATCATCCGTTTTCATCTCTATGAGCAACATCCAATATTGCAAGATGATAGATTACCCACGTTAAAATATTGCTCTATCTGATCTTGCAAAGTACACGAAATGATAGTATCATCTCAAATGAGAAAATTTTCTGCACATTTTCGCTATTTTCCTATAGGAGTAAGTTTTCCCAGAGAAAGGATGCTATTTTGAGAAGCGCCTTATTTCTAAAACTAAGCTTGATAGTAATTTTGCGACTACCTATTCGATAACAGCGTACTCAGATGTGTGTGTTTCAGATGTTTCTCTTCTCATGCGTGCTTCTGAATAAAGAGATACGCGAAGGAGAAAAGACCGCATCGATCTGACCCAATGCTTTTCTTCCAGAGCACATCAGCCAAGACAAACATTAAAGTTTATCGAGGGAATATATATGGATAAAAGAGCTGTTGAGTCGTATAGTTACATGTAAATCAGGCGTAATGTCCAATTCCGCTTAAATCGTACAAAAATGAAGAGAAAAATGTACAAGGAGATTCGACTTGATTTTTATCACGGATGGATTACATCGGAATACACTTTGTCTGTGGGTTCTTATAAGATCTTGTAGAGTTGCAGAGCGCATTGAGCACATTTATACTGTTGTTCTTTGGAGCCAAGCACCACGAAAATAAAATTAGATTTCAATACCTATTACGACTAGATGATATGCTTTTCTTCCAAAATCATCGCTTCTGATGTATTTTACAGGGATCATACATCGGTGTCATTTATATTGGTACACCACGACAACCTGTCCTGTGTGATTTCGACACTGGTTCAATTTCAATGTTCATTCCTTCAGTTCACTGCAAAAATTGTTCTGGTAAGCAAAACGTCATATAATGTGGATGACTCCTCATTTATGAATCAGTATGCTTCTGATTATTTCATTTTGTAAGAAGCGAAGAAAGTGGCATGATCACCGATAAGTTATAGTTTTCTCTTTGTTCTCCTTTAGATATAGCATGGACATATGACAGTTCAAAGTCGTGGACATACAGAAGAGGCCAAATGAATGCTTCAGTGTGCTTTATTGATAACTCTTGTCTAAAGGGTATTTTCGGCATTGACAGCGTACAAGTGTGTATACGATAAATAGTTTTGTGAAAAAATAATGTCAGTCTTCTAGTTTAGGTAGGAGACCAAATGGTTAAACAGCAACAGTTTGGTGAAATTGCAAATTCCAGTGGTAGTATGATGGAATACTATTCAGATGTCGGTATTTGTGGTTTAAGGTATGTACCTGAAGCGAAGAAATTTGATTTTGAAGAATACAAGAAAAACCACGGTTTGTACGATCAGGAGACATCCAAATCCGAGCTTAATAAACTACTTAATGCAACGATGGTATACGGTGTTGGTTATGAAACACCATTAGTCAATAATCTGAACATACAACAAAAAGTGTTTAGCTATTGGATAGGGCGGTAAGTTGTCATTTCTTCGTTCACGTTTCGAAGACTATTTTTCTGTTAACTCATTTGGCTTTCTTTCGAAACTCTACATAAATTAAGGTTGTCTCTTGTGAGATGTGTCTCTAGAGGGTGAAGACGCGTTTCCTGCTCGCATAACCAACGGATAGACAGCAGAAGGTTGGCCAGGACAAGAGGATTTTGCTTTCCTTTAGGAAAAGGACAGACTATGAATATTTTGTTTAGAAAAGAGTCCTGAAGTTAGTGGCAGATATGCAACTCTTTGTAGGTATACATTCGACTCTGAGAGAAGCTCTTGCTTTGGGAGAAGGTAGTTTTTAATCAGACTTTTTTCTCAACATGTCTATGAGTTTTATAGGCACTAACTAAGAACAAAGGTTTTATCATTTGAAAATCACTTTTTTGCTTTCCAACGTGGGATTCTGTCCCTTATATTACCCTAAAGAAATGTCACTCTTTCTTCGAACATCATACTCTCGCTTAACTTTAACTGCGTTTTCTGAAGTTGTTAAAATCCATACGTTTTAGAGACAATCACTCAGGCACTGGTGAAATAACTTTTGGTAATATCGATAAAACACGTTTTAATGGAGATTTGGTCTATGTACCTCTAGAATACAATGGCATCTGGATTATTCGAATGAACGGGTGAGTGCGATTAACGTTTAATAAGAGATATTCGAATATAGTTCTGCTTTCTTCATATCTTTAGTATCAGAATTGGCGATAAAATACTCGGTCAAAATTCCACAGTTGGCCTTGATACCGGCTCCAGTGGTCATCACGGAAATGAAAGGGATGTTCGACTAATAAATCATTATATTGGTGCAATAGTGCCTGAAATTAGACCACAAGAGCATGGGATAAATAAAATATCAGTAAGTAAGTAAGTTCATGTGCAAAGCATCTTACGAGGAAAGTAGCTCAAGCTACAAATCACTGTCTAGCTGACACACACTTCCAGTGTGATAACTTTTGACGCTGATCACATGTTTGATATCCATTTGTGTCCTTAGACGGTGGTTCTCTGAAGATCGACTATGAACTTTCAACTGAACACATTCTGCAAGTGCCAGATTGCAGAGCACGTCAAGTCACCTATGTGGAAACCTTTTCACAACCAACGACCGACTTTTAGCCGAGATAAGATGCGCGCAATAGAAACGTTGAGCAAAATGTTTTTTTGAATTCATTATAAATCTGCCAGTAATTCTCGATTTTCTCTAACCGAACTCAACTTCTATGTCATAAAAATATCATATTCAGAATCACGATCAAAGACTAAATCGACTCATGTGTATTTCGAAACTTTTAGTTGATTTCATTTCTTGATGAAAATCTCTATAATTTTTCAACGGAAAAATTCAAAGAAAAGTTAAAGCAGTTAGGTAGGATAGAAATACACATCAGTCGACTCAGTCTTTAATCCTGATTCTGAATATGATATTTTTATGACATAGAAGTTGAGTTCGGTTAGAGAAAATCGAGAATTACGGACAGAATTCCGACGTTTTGGCCTCTGATTTAGAAAAAACGAATTCTCTCAGTAACAGAACAAAACTTTAAAAAGAGCGAGTCGTACTTTTAAAGTTGGTCTTTCAGCGATCACCTTATCTGGGCTAAGTTAGTTGTTCGTTAGTTGTCAAAAAGTTTCCACATAGGTGACTTGACGTCTGGCACTTGCAGAATGTGTTGAGCTGATAGTCGATCATCAGAGAATCACCCAAGAAAGGTCTAAGGACACAAATGGATATCAAACATGTGATCAGCGTCAAAAGCTATCCCAGAGAAAGTGAGTCTCAGCCAGACAACGATTTGCAGCTAGGACTGCTTTCTTCATTAGCTAGGAAATTTTGCATCTATTAAAGAGTGCAGAGCTGCTGGAAACATGTAATCTTAGGGTATTACTAATATACGCTAACATCCACCACATTCCCAAATTAAAGTCAGCGATAGGCCTGTTCTTTTGTAAATAAAGGAACATCCAACAAACACCGATGAACTTTATTACAAACAGCGTCTTTTGGGGCTTTTTCGCTAGTAACAACCACTAACACGCAAAAAAGTGCTGCAAACACTCAAAATAATATGCCAGAATAATCGCCATCCTTTTTTAAGCCTATTAGATCACTTTTGAAGCCATAGGAAATCTGATGAGAGCAAAGGTGGTCGGACCACTCAACTTTGGGGTGTGATCGTTCTGGATAATCAAAAATATTTTTTTTTTCAATGAAACTGATTCATATTTTAGTAATTCATAATTTTTTATTAGCAGCGACCTTTTTTCTTTGGGATATCCCAATCTCAAAGCTTCTACAGCATCTAAATTTATTACACAAAGCTTTTTTCTGAATGAGAACATCTCCTATATACAAAGAAAGCTGTTTGTCGTGAGGGTGAGATTTCCTAGGACGCAAAAGTGATCTAATGGGATCAAAAAAGGATGGCGATTATTCTGGCATATTACGCTGGGTGTTTGCGTCACGCTTTTGGGCATTACTAAAAAAAAAGCTCTAAAGAATCCTCTTTGAAATAAAGTTTTTCTGTGTTTGTTGAATGTTCCTTTATTCACAAAGAACAGGTCTATCGCGGACTTTGATTTTGGGGTTGTTGGTGGATGTTAGGGGTTGTTAGTGTGTGTTAGCGTATTTTAGTAATACCTGTAATATTGTGTTATGCCGAGTTTTCTGATGCGGTTATATGAATTCTCTCTCATTCTAGTATCAATTCGACTGTTCAATAGATTTCGATTCTCTTCCACCAGTGTATATAGGTTTAGGAAATAAATGGTTTATAATGCATAGTTCTGATTATGTGGTCAAATCTGCTAATGATACAAAATGCTATAGTCGTTTTGTGTCGAAAGGTGATGTACACAGTGTCGGGATATTGGGACAAGGTCTTTTTCGTCGTTTATATACGGTATTTGATTTTGGACAAAATAGAATTGGATTTGCAGAATCTGTGTCCTGAATGTGTCCTAAGACTGAGTCAGTGACATTCGAGCTTAACAAGCGAAATATCGTAATACTATTCATTTCCTTATAACAGCAATAGCGTAAACGAAATACAAAATGAATTTACACGTCACATACATATTCACACTCACCGATGCACATTCACACTCACACACTTACAATCATTCTCACACCCTCATCGACTCACAAACCCGTTAATAAAAAATATGAAGTTCTCAACCAAATACCAACACCAACCGGTTGCATTACTCACTTTTTTTCTCTTATATCGCTTTAACTTCTGGAGAGAGATAATGAATGCACATATTTAAAGAAAAATTCCTAAACCCGGACATACTCTGTCCCGATCAAGTATAAACCATGAGAAACATTACGTCTCCATCGAATGCGACTTGTTAAGTTTTATCAATCGTTAAGAGAGGCTTTCGAATCCAGACCACTTTTTTATCCACAGTTATTAATTCGATTAAAAAAAAAGGGTCTCAATTCCGAAATAACAACTTCGATAAAAATAGAAAAAAGTCTTACACAAATTCGGAACAGAAAATTTTAATAGATTAGTCACGCTGATTAACATTATATACAGATAGTATATAGCAGCAGTATATAGGTATATAGGATAGTAAAAGGTTCATATCGTTATTCAATATTACAAAATTTAGGTGAATAGTTGAATCGTTGAAAAGAGAATATCAAAACTTGAAAACTTGCAGAGTTGAAAAGAGAATGACATCATGCAGAAAATACATTTTCTGCAACTTTAGTTCCTAAATGTCCTGAATATCCTAGTGAGTGAGTAGGGTACAAATATACTAGGATATTTAGCAATAACCTGGCAAACTTGGAAACCTAAATATTCCCCGACTAACGTGTCCACCTAAAATGTTCTATAAGCCTACTCACACTCATCACCCACTGTGAATAGTCGAAAGTTGAATATCAAAAGTTGAAAAGTCGAATAGTCGAATAGTCGAAAGTTGAATATCAAAAGTTGAAAAGTCGAATAGTCGAAAAGTCGAAAGTTGAATTGCAAAAGTCGAATAATCGAAAAGTCGAATAGAAAGTTGAATATCAAAAGTTGAAAAGTCGAATAGTCGAAAGTTGAATATCAAAAGTCGAATAGTCGAAAGTTGAATATCAAAAGTTGAAAAGATGAATAATCGAAAAGTCGAATAGTCGAAGTAATAGATCGAAAGTTGAAAATATAGATTGTTTTATTCCAAAAGTTGAAGATAATTTTCGACTTTTGGAAAGTCGAAGTGTGTCTTCGAGCTTTACACGTATGATTATTTGTACTTAGTTTCAGGCAAACGGGGTTTCTACTATGCTTTCTCAATACAGCGGTTTTGGATGTTTTTTAAATAACTCGAGAACGAAAAGAGATTGAGAGTTCGATTTTCAGCATTCTGTAGAGAAGGCTTTATTCTATCTTCACATATATTGGTGCTAAAAATCTTGGTTTTTCAAGTGGTGTACCTGACGGATGAAAAGCAATGAGGTTGCCAGATTCTGAACCTGAGATGGATTTTTAATTGTAACATGATGACTAGATAGCCCAAAGCGTTTTCTACTATTCTGCGCAAGGCCAACCTCTGTATCTATTAAGGTTCGCGATTAACAGGCATTTTCTGGAGTCACCCGTAATTCGTTACCAGTTCTCTTGAGGAAATGCCTGCTATTCTAGAACCACAACAGATAGAGAGCTCGGTCTTGCGTAGAATTGTAGAGAACACTTTGAGCTATCTAGTCACCATGTTACAATCCTTCAAATTCAAATTCAATCGTCCTTTTCAAACTGACATAGTTTGATAAAGTGTGATGACCCAATCCTTAACTGCAGTGTGAAACTCTTGCTAGAGATCCTGCAATAACGAGGCATGATGGAGTAAAAGTCCTGCTACAAAAATTGTGCGCAATGGTCGACTACGGGGGGTAACGGTGCCTGTTTTTCAGAGTTAATGGAAAAATTTTGAAAAAAATGAAATTTAAATTGTTTTAAATTTTAAATTTTAAAAGAATTTAAATTTAAAACATATGGAAGAAAATTTTAAAAATCAGACAACGTCACCCCCTGCAGTTGGCCATTGCGCACATTTTTTGTACCAAAAGTTTTTTCCACCATGCATCGTTTTTGCAGCATTTTTGGCAAGGTGTTTTTCAAAATACTTTTTCATTCTCCAGCAAAATACACTGGAAAAAAAATTTTGTAACTCAATTTTGATCACTTTTTTTAAGTTTGTAACCCCATAAAGGGGGATTATTGTGGCGTGGCGCACCGAATTGTACAACATATTCATAAAAAAGGGGGGGCCCTAATTTTTGTCAAAAAGTATGATGGGTACATTTATTAGCCCTCTTCAAATAAAACTAATCTACGATCATATCAATAAAAATATGTGTTACAGTATATATATATATCACGGCGGCCCATAAATCGTGGCACGGCTCTTCCGCGAACTTTTTATAATACAAATTTCGGTATGTCTGGCAGTGTGGCGGTTGGCGGTGATGGCAGTGTGAGAATGATTTCGAAAAGTAGTTTCACGCAAAAGATATGTGGATGACATAGTATGAATTTGGTTCAGCTTTTCAAAAACTTATCTGGTATGTCAGTAGTTCAAATAGAAACTATATTGAGATTGTTTTAACGAGTAGAATCTACTCGTTAAACTGAATCTACTCAGTAGATCCAGTAGTACCCGCTATTTTCTTAGTTTTCTAAAGTTTAGTTTTCTTAAGATGTATTTACAAAAATTAAAGGAGTTGATGCTCCCATAAATAATGGGGCCAAATCTTTTTCTGTTTTAAAGCACTTAAAAGCAGTTATAAGATTTTGATTTCAACACATTTGATAGAGAATTTATTGGTCTACAAAACTATTGATTTAGTTTTTTAAAAAGATCCTTCTCCTCACCGTAAAATCCCAAACTTTACGACGTGCTCTTTGTTTAGCTGCGATCTTCGGTTTTCATTACACTCTCTCCACGTGTATGAGTGACGATATCAGGTTTTTTTTTTCTCATTTTAAACGAGACGAAAAACAATGCCTGTTATATAAGGCACTTTATTTCTAAAGTAGAGTACTTTTATACTCGAACTTTTGTACTTTATATCTGCTTTTTGAACCTGTTTAAAGTAGAACTAAAGCAGTAAAATAACCAATTTACAGAGTAAGTACACAGCAGTTGCAGTGAGTGAGAGAATAGCGATATATAACACCCTTTCTATTTACTGTGGCTCGCACGGTTGCAGTTTTTCTTCATGCATTTTGGGTATCAAAGATGGGTCTTCTTTCTCATGAAATACATCAAATATAGGGCTTTCTCAGTACATAGATTCAGTTAATGTTTGCTGTGTAAAGATCTCAAAATAAAACTGCACAGAAAAGAGAAATGCATGAAAGGTTAATGTTATAGCAATTGTGAGTGTCCTCGGTGTAATATCACTTTGCCGTTAGTGACTCTCAGGATGTAGCGATGATCAGTTCGGTTCTGTTTGACGTACGGAGGATTGCGGCTCAGCCATTCCGCCTCATTCGCAGAATATTAGATGGGCTCTAATAACGAACGGATCCTAGCGATAATATCTACGGATATAGATTCTCTGAAAGTCCAAGCGTGAATGTTTTCTTCACATATGGCAAACGTTACCTTAGGGAAGCCGTCAAAATTCGCATCGATGAATTTATTGGAGAGAAAATTGAGAACAGAATTATTCAATATGGCTGAAAAAAAGAATATGGAACTATCGTATAACAGAATGAACATGTATTCTTTTCTGTACTATACTTGACTTGATGTTTTTTTTCTTTCT